ACACCTTCAGGGTAAGATGTAGTACTTTCTGATGTTTGAGAAGAGTTAAATGTCTCTACAGACAAGACCAAAATCAGTTTTCAGACAAATTTTCTGGTAGCAAAGGTGGAGTAGCTCTCATTTCAAATGCTGCATACAAAAGGAAATCCTGAGCTTTATCTATTCCTCATCATGCATTTGTAAAGATTGTGGGGATTACGTCCTTCTCCCACTGGAAAATAAGTCCTCTAAAGTTCCTCATACTGTTTACCATAAGATGTTTGCAGTTTTTTATTTTGTATATATATATATATGTCATAAAACAACTTCATTGTTTTAATAATCTATCTCAAAGGAATACAAATTAGTTTAACGTTTTTCTTCTATTCTTAGGTAAAGGAACAATATGGCAAAAAAGGTTCACCATGTTGCCTTAACACAGCAACACTTATCTATTGAATGACCAGACACAGTTGCTTTTTATTTTCATGTTTACAGGCAGTCAGCTTTCTCCTTTTCCATAGTCTTCCATTAGCCAGTCTATCAGTAGGCACTCAACTGTATTTAAAAATGTTCTCCATATCAGTTACATTCAACTAGTCTGAAGCAAACAGCAAGGAAAAAGGAGCATTTTAATTAGCAGTTTAATGATCCTAAACTCCCTGACTGGCATTCTGTAGAGTAGTTTAGTCTGCATACAACTTGAATAGATAGACTTCTCTGGAATTACCCCTCATATACTGGTCCTGCTCCACAGTACTGGTACTTTTTTGATATTAGATAAATATTATAATATTTTTTACATCATTAAGTGAAAAGCAGTGATTTCAGGAACTAGTATTACCATTTTCCCTGACTGATTTTATGCTGCTCCTCATCTATATGATGATAAACATAGGCATGGTTTGATCACCAGTGTTCAAATTATGCATCAGAAGCTTTTGAGCTTTTGATCTTTGAAATTTTGCACTTTTTCAACCCTGCTTGTGCGATTGTATTTACCATACTATCTGAACTACTTGGTCACTGACTTTTCCTCTAAAATATTTCCTTACCTCTGACAAGGTAATGGACATTTTTAAATTAAAGAACACATATCAAAACATCATGATGACTAGCAAATACTTTGTTCATGCATAGAAAGACAGGTTGACCATCACAGGGATATTTGTGAACATCACACAAGAAGAGCTTCCAACAATTGAATCAAAACACTTGCTGGGCATCTGAAGATCCCCAGACATTTTGAGCTGTTAGCCATCCTTCCATCCAAGTCATAGTGGGCATATCTCCTTACCAAACAATGCACTTGGTGTAGAGTAAAATAATATAGTAGGATTTTTCAAAGGAAAGGGAAGATGTCATTTCTGCTGAACAGATTAATAGTTATGCAGATCGTGTTAATGATGAGAATTGTCTGTTTTATGATTTGGAATATAAATTGCTTTCTGTGGGAGTAAGGAAGTCATTCACCTCATTTTCTGCACAAAATTGAATTTGTCTCAGCATATTACAGGACTTTTTATTGGATGGCTGAAAAGGGAGTAAAAATCTACCACCTTCTGAAACACTAGGCTACATAGCTGGCCTGATTAAGTATGATAAATTCCAGTTAATGAAACTACAGCAGTATTAAACCACGCTTCTCCACATGTAATAAATTACTGGCACTTTCACCAATATTGTTTGCAGCAGACTAATACATTAAGAGAAAATGTATTTAGATCATGCAGCCTGGCACTGTCTGAATAATACAAAATTTTGATACTACAGACCATGTCACACAAAAAAACTCTGCCTGATCTCTGGTAACCATCCCACCAAGCTGGATTTTAATGCCAGTATTTCTGTGAGTCAGTGTCATAGCTATATGATCCAGACTTGTGACAACCCCATTTCTTCCCTTCCTTTGCCAATGCATGCATGAAAAGCACTACACAAACCTTCTGATGATTACTTTGAAGATTCTAGAATTTCCAGACAGCAAATGTCAGAGGACATTGGCTATAAACTTGCCAGGCGTCCAAAACACATAACAGGCCAAAACAAGTCCCATAAAGAATGTAAATGATGTTTGTACATATTTGGTAAAGCAGGAAGTTACAAAATAATCATCTTCAGTAAAACATAGCTTCTAGCAATCAGAATCAGAGTGTGAAACTTGTCTTACTGCAAAAGGAAAGAGGAAGCACTAGAATTCTGGGGTGGGGAGGGGAGGCGGAGTTTAATGATTACATTTGGAAGCAGAATAGAAAGGGAAAAAAGAAACCTTTTGAAACCTGGAGTCTGTATGACAGAAAGTGAACTTATCCATACATACCCAGATAGAAAACTTCTCTTCTGGAAAATTCATTCCAAACCAGTTACTGGGTTTCATTACAAAAGGAAGGAGAAACTGGATAAATTCACATTTTGAATAAAGCACTACCTAGATATTATTTGTAACTTATTTTCCGCTGAGATACAGAGGCACTGCTAAGGTGTTGAGCTGAGGTACAGAGTTTGCATCATCATCAGGTCCTGAAGAGTTAATTAAAAAGAGCAGTTTCTATTTTAATTCATACTCTAGGTGCAGAGTATCACAAGATTATCCTCCAGACAGAAGAATCTTTAGCATTAAATATGAGTCTTTTAAAAAGAAAACAACTTTTGACTCTCTGAGTGTAACCAGATGGCTAGAATATAAAGCAATGGCAGTAAAGCCAAAGATGTCTATTTTGAAATAGATCAGCTGATGAGCAAATCTTCCCTGATATCAATAGGCAGGACCCTAAATTCAACATATTTCTGCTTTCCTTCTCATGCCAGTGAGTTCATTGTACTTGGGCAGCATTTGGAAAATAAAATATTCTGTTGTTCTGATATAGATGGAGACTAAATGCAGGGATATCAACTCAATAACCCTGGTTTTACAGCAGTGTAGCTATTAGCAGAACCTGGTTTCATGTTTCTAGATATTTTAGTATTTTATGAATCTGACTGATAAGACAGTCTGCTATACTTCAGCTGCTATACAATTTTTTTCACTAGAGTCTCAATGACCTCTTCTTAAAATGAGTCCACTGATTGATTTGTATTCCACAGAGTGCTCATTACAGCTGCCGTTAGTGCACAAAATCCCATGAACATAAAGAATTACCCTAAAAATTGGCAATTTCAAGCTTTTATTAGAAGGTCTTTTTCACAGGTTGAAGTCAGTCAAACACTAAGTAATTAAGACAATTTACTGTAGCGTGACTGTATGTATTTCAGCATATATTCCCAAAAGAAATTCCATAGAAGACATCTACAATAGAATTTTCTTATGAAGATTTCTTTTGCTTTTGTACTGTTTTGGCGATGGAATTGCAGAGAACATAGAATTTGGCTCTCCAGTCTGAGCATCCCACATGAGCCCCCAGTGCTGGTCCATTTGCATTTGTTTTGATGCCTTTGCAGTAGGAGAGTATCATCAGTATCACTTGCAGTCAGTAGTCCTGCTTAATAGAAGCCAAATAAAGACCAGAGTTGTGTTAATCACCCTTGGAGATTCTAGAGGGTAAAGGAGACCTGCTTTGTTATTGGGTTTATTTTGTTCACCATTACCTGCCCTCACTGCTCACAAATGTCTGGACCCTTGCAGGATGCTCTTTAGAAATGCTGCATTCTTTTTACGTGCAGACAAAGAGAATTAGATGAGGCCACAGTTTCATTTCCTTACAGTGACCAGAAAACAGAGAAGAAACCCAGGGAATATACTAAATGTTGTATTAGCCACTGCCGTAGGCTGTAAAGACTACAGACATTCCAGAGCTATGTTGATTAGTAATTAGCACAAAGCAGATGGGAAATCATGCTGTCTCCCCAGGAAGTTAATGCAAACTAGTTACAGTATTTATATGTTGTTGAGACTACCCTGCGAAAATGTGTTTTAAATAAATAGCAAAACTGAAATTATCTTGACATTTCAGTTAAAAATAGGTAAAACCAAATACTGAATTGGAAATTAGCTTCAAGTTTATGCTGAAAAGAGATCAAGATTTCTCCATATTCATAAATGATTGTTCTTGGGTTTAAATCCTATTTACTCTTTACAAGGTGTTTTTGAAGTTATCTGTTTTAAATCTAGGCTTACTTGTCACTTCTTCAGAGAACTGAATCTGCTATTGCTTGCTACAGGCCTTGATTGTGACTAATAAAAGATTCATTCTCAACTTGATTGGTACTCTGCTATCATATATATTACAGAATGTTTTGTACTTTTCGTATTCAAAAGATCAGATGTTCAGAGAATTGCAACTGACTCTAAAAGTTAAGGAATTTGGGCTGCTTTGGAAAGTTGTTTTGAGGCAATCCCACAGTCAGACAAGGAACTCCCTTCTTTTTGTACCAACAGGGTTTCTCTCTACCCTATCACTCCTGTAATAAGCGTGGAGAAATATGTTCTCTGCTTGGGCAGGCCCAGAAATTTTGGGGATGAGTGGCATATTAATACATTATTGCATTCTCTTCTGGGAAAAGAATAATCAGCAAAAACCCTCTCCTGTGAGAATAACTTAAATGGGTATTTCTGATATCAAGTCTAACATACATGACTGTTAACCTGTCAAGACTGTGAAAAATGCCTGACAATGAGAGAAACTGGGAAAAGGGAATGAAATATTTGATTTTTTTGGTAAACTTTGGAATACAAGGCTTCCTCAAATCTCACTCTCACTGGGAGGAAAAAAAAAAAAAGAGTACACAGGAGAACTCTGTTGGATAAAACCTCTGTTGTTTTGATATAAGCAACTTTTTGCAAAATGACTTAAGGTTTACAGACTATGAATCCTTACTACGTACATGCAAATGTCTTCTAGACTTCAAAGGAAATTTAAATTTCCTCTTAAAGAATAATCAAAAAAGGCTTTAAAGTAATTTATTCTAATAGACAATGTACTTCCTATCTGATATAATAATCACGCCCATCCTCAGATGACAATAAACTAGAGTACAATTTCATTAATTGCTTATTACTGTACACACTTGTTTCTGTTTCACAGATTATTTCAAAGAGAATGATCAGAGTGATCCTGAACCCTCAGGAGACACCAGCAGATACTATCAATCTATTAAGAAACATTTTGAGGAGAAAAAAAGTGGGTCATCATCTTTTGTGTCCTCCATTGAAGATGAGCAAAAGCCCCTGTTCTCTGGGATAGCTGACTACCCATCTGTAACAGAGAAAACCACAGAGATGGACTTTGAAGAAATGGATAATGACACAGAAGAAATTCTTATTGACAAAAGAAGCAATTCTTGCAAAGGTAATCCATCTGTTGCTCTTCTGTAAAGTTTGAAAAAACATCTCTTTTATTCTGATTTACCAAAATAATTTTCTGAATTGTTCTAATGAATCTTTACATAATATTTACTTTTGTGTTTCCTAAAAGCTTAAGAAAAATATTTTAGGTCAAAAATTACTATTTCTCAGGAGCATTAATGTATGTACTGCGGGACTGTATTACAGAACCTTCAAAATGTCATTCAATGTTTTTTTAATAAATCATCTTGTAATTGAATTACCTCAGGAAAGTAATTTAAACAAACTCTTTAAAATTGTCTACTGTACTGGTCTTCATTGAGTGCCCATAGATGAAAACTGCACACAAAGCAGTAAAGAATCTCTCAAAAGGTGTTTAATGTGCCAAGATTGGATGACAGTAAAAAATTCTAAAGAACAAGATAAACCTAGTGATTGTTGCACATGCACCAAAAAAATGTTTTCAGGTAACTAGTTTCATTTACTGCATTGACAAAACAAAACAAAAATTAAGTGGAAAAAAAAGCATAAAAGCTTAAAAGAATGCTATTCTATTTTGCTGCATATGTTGGTTAGAGTGCCATTACATCACACAGAACAAATCCTGGCTTCAATAAGTAACACACAAGAATAAAGATTTGTATATGACAAATTATCAGAAACTATTAAGCAATCTCAGACACTTTTATATGGAGTTAAATCACATAATTAAAATGACATCTAATATACTAAAATATTAATTTTTCTCAGCAATCTGAAAGGAAATTAATTAAAATCTCTGGATTAATATACAATTTAAATAATGCTGCAATTTCATTTGTAATTTTTTCAGTCTGAAGGGAAGAATTATATATTTATTGTTTAATGCTGTTTTCTCCAGCAGTTTCCATTGAGGCAATTTACCCATTTAACCACCATTCAATAAACTTTAGACTTTTGGGCTATCATTTTAAATAAACCTAATGACTGATCAGACCAAACAATGATTTTTACATCTCAAGGGTATGAATATGTGAAGTCTAGTCTCCTCAAGTTAAGACTCTATAAATCTGCACCACATAAACTTGTTGCATACGTATTGCAACTGGAAAGCTTACCTTTCCTCTACCAATAGCCAGAAATGTGTCCTTGCAGCTATAGCAACATTTTCCAAGGCAACCTATTGCAGATTTTATTTGAGCTAAATTTAGCATATCTAAAGGTTACGTGTTTTGAATAAGACCATATTCTTTTTTCCACTTTGTAATTTAGCACTTCTAGTAATGTGTATGAAGGGTAATGAGCTTTCTTGAAGCTTTCATAGAAACTTCAAGATCAATATGATTAGCTTTGACTGATATAAGTTTTAAACTAAATTCTTATTCCTGCTATTAATTAGAGATTGATTATAACTTACCATAAGAGTAGTTACAAACATAATGAAATAGTGAAATAGAGTCTTCTTGTAAGTGTCCTCATATATTATAGTACCTTATAAATCTTGGATACAAAGTCACTTGTATAAAGCTACTCCAATTCATTACCACTGTGACTGATACATATTTAATTACCTTTTGTTTTGTTTTAAGCTTTGGTCATTAATTCAATGAATGGAAAGACTATTAATAATGTATTGTATAATGTGGGCAGAAGCAGTATAAACATCTCTCTCATAATCCTAAAATGCAACTTTTAACTTTTAAACATATGGCTCTTTTTTGAAGGCCTAATAATTTTTCTGTAGCTGTTGGCTATATGCTAAGGAAAAAATTTATTTTCACTTGGTCATTATTTGGGCTATAAGGTTGATTCTTGAATTGTTCAAGTGGACGTAGTTATTGATTTAGTACTATTGATTTAGTTCTCAGTCTAAGATTCTTCAACCCCTGGAAGTCCAAAGTTGCAACTGCTGCCAGGCTTTTCTGGGGTTACGTATGTATCTGGAAGTACTTGAAAAGACACTTAGATCAGTACAATACCATATTTTATAGTGTATTACCTGGCTTATAGTGTGTGATCTTATTTTGTAATTTCAGTACCCATTCATTTGCTTTTTCATAAATTGAATGTCTATTAGAATAGTCTCCAAATACATATTCTGGGACAAAAAATAGCTGTGATTTACCTGGGATAACCATAGCATTGAAAATCTGCGATTTTATTGAATGATTTATGTTGAAAAATAATCAACATCTTGAGTTTTACAGGAAATTATAAACAGCAAAATGCTCCTGAAATTCACTGCTTATAAGTCCACCAGATTCACCACACCTATTGCACCTAAACCCATTGAAATTTTACCCCTGAATTTGTCAGTCTTCTTTCTTCAGTTTGCTGAGAGCTTTCCAACTCTTCCTTGGACACTGCAAATTGTGCCATTTGTACCTCCTAAAAGCAAATTACATGCTTCTGTGACACCCTTTTTCTCTTTCCTTCTATTGGCTTAAGTGGCTGAGAAGCTGAACAGGTTTCTGTGTAGCCAAGATGAAATCTCTTTCCTCTTCCTTCTGCCTGGCACATAAAATCAGTTATAGGTCATGTCAGATGAAATTCAAACACTCTCTACAGCTCCAGGAAACCTGCTACCACCTGCTAACCAAAGATCAGATAATGCAACAACCGCCTCTCTCTGAAAAAAAAAAAAAAAAAAAAAAAAAAAAAAAAAAAAAAAAAAAAAAAAAAAAAAAAAAAAAAAAAAAAAAAAAAAAAAAAGGAAGGTCTCCCAATTGAAGTCATGTAGTGAGCACTCCCCTTCCTGGTTAAATCTACTTTAAATCCTAAATCAGAGCAGGCACTTTTTTTTTTTTTCTCATTTCTCTACTTAGAGCAACATTGCTAAAAGATATGCTTGAAAAGGATTAGCTATTAGCATTTGGAAAAAACTCTTACATGTCACCTACACTGCGGTGTTTTTCTCTTTTCTTTGAAACACGGGCCTGGCTGATATGGTTGCTTAGAAAAATTTCACAAGCATGAAGTGAATGTTACCTATGCTGAGTTATCAGTGTGCAATGCCAAGGGAAGAGTTAGGAGAAGCTCTGAACAAACCATTCAGGGACTGAAGTGGGATTCAAATCTGACTGCTGATGCCTCATAAGCAGTCAAGGATTTTTGTCCAGCTGTCTGCTGAGGCAGCAGCCTGAGCAGAGTAGGAACTTCAATTTGTTCTATAACTTCATATAGTTAAATAACTACAAATACAACTCCAAAGGGAGTTGTATTGAGCAGGTGTTAAACATCTTGTTTTATCACAGCAGAGAAGAATGAGTGGGGTACTCATTTTGACTGTTCATGTGACAGATTCATTCAAAGTAAACTAAGGCTCAAGGTGGCAGGGAGAGCTGTAGAAAAAGCACTGTTCAACCTAATATGTCACCTGTGGGCTCTGCAAGCTCACAGTGGTAAGTTATCTGATAAATGCAACTAGTATATCCCATGATAAATGATGTGTAACTTTTCACCATCCTGGTGAACAGGACAAATGGCACAGAGCCAAGAATGTAAACCAATTAATAAATCCCCGGAGATATAAATTAAGCAAACTGAAAAAGGAAGGAGAAATAGCTCAAACCAGAAGTCCAAGCAAAAGGAAGGAGTTCTGTTTGGTGCTAATGTGCAGTGCCTGATCACAGAGATCCAAGAACTGGGAGGGTCAAGAGGGATGGAATTTGAGTACAGCAGATAAAGGGTGAGACCTGGAGTAGTCATCATCATTTTTTTTTACCAGGGGCTGGAGATAAAATATAAATGGCTCATACAAAGAGTGTTTTTAAATATTTCATACACTGTGTGTAAGATAAACAAGGCTTAGAAGGGTAATTAAATTCAGCAAGATAGCTGAAACTCTGAGTAAAGTCCTAATAATGTAACTGGGATTTTTTTTAACTTGAAATAAATGGTTTTCTCTACCTTAATCCAAAATTTTATCTGCAGTTCAAATGGGGGTGGAGAGAAAATATTATTTGCATGAAGCTTCATTTGATATTAAAATCATCTCTGACTGACCCAGCAATGCTGAATATTTCATTCTTTTCGAAGTCCCAAATAATTAAATGAAATTAACAGGCACCTTTCACCCTACAGTGCTATAAGAGTATCAGAGACATGCTTTACACAATGATGTAAGGATTGGCTCGGAGAGTAGTGATGCTGAAAGTTACATCAATGAAAATCAATTTCCTTTCAGAAAATAATAACCAGTACCCTTTTGCAAGCAATATGAGCTGCATTAAATGGCCCCTGTCTCAGAGAAAACATATTGCACTTCACCAACATTGTTAAGACAAGTAGTGCTAGAGTTACTGGTAAGAAGGACAGCTGGCTGAGTGCTGTAAAAGCAATGAAGCAAGTCCTTTTACATCAAAAAGATAAACAGTAAATACACCTCAATACTTCATTCAAGAGAAGAGGTCTTAGGCCTCTGAAACACGCAATCAAAGACATTCAGGTATATCATTTAATGCATTTAGGTTAGAACAAATATTTCACTGAATAACAAATTGCTAAAAAAAAAAACAAACTTGGGAAAATTACAGATTCATTGATAAAATAATAGAAATTAAACTAAAGGAAGAGGAGATATTCAGTGGCAGAACTCTGATGATGCAGACCACACAAAGCTGCTTGTTTATCTACAGCTTAAAAATGTTAGCATGAATGTGACCACTTTTATCTTTCCTTAAATAGAAGTAAGAAACAAAGAGAGTTGTTCAGTCAGTGTTCCAGTGTACCAATTTGACTTCCAGGGTTTTGAGTCACATGAATAAATGGGTGCTTAAGAAATGCCAACCTGTATCTAACAGTACGTATATATTAAATATAAATCTATATTTTTATATGTTTTTGTTTTCATCAGATATCACTGATAAAAGAAACTGGGAGCAGGAGAACATCCAGGAGTACCAGGACTCCCCAGTTCAACCAGCATTACCCCATGTTACATGGGGGATCTGTGAAACTGAAAGTGATTTTATATATGGGGAAGTGGAGAACCGATTAGATTTACTTCAAGAACAACTCAACAGGTAAAAACAGAGATAAGACCAGAAGAAACATGTAAAAGAGTACATAAAACAACTGATATTGATGACGCTACAGAAGGAATGAGTTTGTGCAGGAAATTTCCAAAAGCATTCAGATCTTTATAAGCTCAAAAATACAAAAAAATGTCTGATTGGAATATCACTTTGTTGTCTATATATATTCTGAGGAGCCTAGATATCAACTAAGTTAAGCCTCCCAGATTCTTGGAAAACCTGATTCTGGAAATTCTGCGTATACAATTTTTAATTGATTGCCAGAATATTCATGTCTCTTATCTGTCAGTACCCACACCAGCTACTCTGAATTGCCTTGCAGGAGAACCTTTTTCCTTGACTGACTGTTTAGGAGACCATCTGTTTTTAACTGATAAGCTGTAGGCACTTGTACTTGTTGTACTGAGGCAACTAAAATTGTTAAATCTGAATCTCACCTCATCCAGAATGCTGTTCCTACATCATAGAATCATAGAATTGTTTGGGTTGGAAAGGACCTTTAAGACCATCTGGTTTCAACTCTGCTGCTGTGGACAGGGACTCCACATATTTACATTTCTACAAAATTGTGATTTTCAGTATCTTCAATATCTGAAGCAACTTTTCTTTCCTGGAAACCCAAAGTACACCAGATACATGCCTTTAAAAACGTATTGCAGAGAAATTCCCTTTTTGACACATTAACTTATTTTGCAATTTATAATCAGCAAAGGCAAAATACTAATATCTCTTATGACAACAAAATGATGTTTTCTTTGTCAGAATCCAATATTATCTTTGCTTAATACTGATATACTACTCATGCTGACAGCTAAGCCCCTTAGCTTAGAACATCTTAAAAATACAATTCCAGAATTTTGATCCATCCTACGCTGTAATTTACCATGTAATTTCATTTAAGTTTAAATTGCCCTATGCTCAGGACAGTGGCTTTTTTGTTATTTTAACTCTGCAATTCCATTACTTTCAATATTTTTCCATGACAAATACTATGACACACACTCAGTACTAATTATCCTTTAGTAGCTCTTCAGTGGTATTCTGGGCTGTATATTTTAGCAATCAGTTTAAAGCCAGGTTAACTGCGTATTGCTTCCTTCATCTACCAGAAGTCAATCAAACCATAGTATTTTTTATTTCTGAATACTATATAGTACATTTTGAAAGACAATTTTTAACACATAAGCCTAAACTGATATAATTTCTAATTGCAGTTAAGGCAAGTAATCTAACTGTAAATGTCACCATAACTAAACAGCTGCAGGTTCCCCATCAACAGTATGTAGTCTTTTGGTTACATTTCCTTCCCTGAAATCTTAAGCTCTTGAAATTGAGGTTATATCTCAGATTTACGCATAGTTTTATCAAATTCTCATGCCATTTCTCAGTATTTTCTTCTGTGAGAAAATATCATTGTTACTGATAAACTAAGAACTAAATCGTTGCGTGTTTTATTAAATCAGTTTATTCTGAACTCTTTTTATGTTTTTAAGGCTTTTCATGCTTTCAGGATTTTGGGCTTTGCTAGGTCTTCTGTAAATATAACAGACATTATTCTTTCCTGCCTATGTCAGATCTGACCTGCTGGATGAAAAAGCATGGTCACTTCTCCCTGAACTCTTCCATGCCAAGTTAGAGGCTTGGCATAATAATTATTAATAGACAGAGAGGGCTAGAAAGCCACTCTACAACAAATATGTGCCTAGAGCTATCCCTGTTTCTCTTCTTTAAGCAATTGGAATGTCATGGAGTCTATGGGCCAGGTATCTAAGGTTCTCCTGTTTACTTGGGTGCCATAAAATGGATTTGTTTTAAGTTTGGGGGAATGGAAAGTGAAGTTTTATATGCAATGATGATTAATAAAGTCTACCAGAGGTATTCTTTCATTTGTAGTACCAAGAAACTTCCATCAAGTGCTAACAAAGTAAGCAGGGAGCAATTTTAGAGTTAATTCAAAGTCAAAGACAATCATGGACACACATCCTCCAATGCCACCTTTTATTCACTGAGATTTTAAGGCCCAGGTTTAGCAGATGGAAACTCTCTGGGTGGTGGCATGCTGCTGCTACTGCAGTATTTTGCCCTGTGTCATCAGCACCATGCTTGTGTGAGAACAGCATATTTGCAAGCAGCAAAGAACCCCAGGGAGATGAACAAGAGGGCGAGCAGAGCACAACTGACTCCAACTGTCTCAGTTTGCACCTTTTTTTCTGAGAGCTGATGCCACAAAACCAGCTTCTCCCAATAGAGAAACAAACAGCATCCTAAATATCCTTTGGACACACCTTTCAGAATAATTTCACAGACGCTTCTATAAATAAATGACACAGGCATTAGACAACTCCAACATGATAAAAAAGGGCAACAGTGAAGCACCTGGTAAAAGCAAAAATCTGACAGCACAGGATCAATTCTGCTGCTGCAGGGAGCCCAAGGAGTAACATTCACAACATTGAAGGCAGCTGACAAAGATTTGTTTACTCTGTCAGAAGCTGAGTTGCACTACAGAAGGTTGTATATCTGCATTACAGTCTGTCAGTGCACGCTGTAGCCCTCCAGCAGCTGGGGAGGCACAACAGGCATTACCTATTCTTAGGTTAGTCACAGATCTTGGCAACACCATTTGAAAATCATTTCAGTGTTGTGGAATTGTAAGTATGAACAACACAAGCAGCTCAAGTGTTTCAGAAGTCATATACAAATTTATGAAGAGGGAAAAAAAAAGAATAAAAAGCTAGAAAATTTGAACATCAGAAATCCTAACATTAATTCTGAGGCCTAAATAAGTTTGAATAAATTTTCACAGTAAGGAGACTTGGACAGTCAGATTTTTTAATGATCTTGAAATTATCTTTCATTTTCTAACCGTGGAAAAACACAAATGTAGTTTCTGTTTATTTCAGTGCATTTTATTAGCAATGGGTATGTCAGAATTGTCAGATGCATTATAAATAGTGTCTCATGTTCAGCCAGTACAAATCAATTCAGTTGCAATGAAAAGAATACATTTATTTCAGTTTATTTCAACCAAATACACGGTCCCCCGCGTTGCTTCTTGTTGCAAACATAAGGCACATTAATGAACTCATTCTCAACATAGCAAAAACATGGGAGACAAGCATGCAGGTATGTCCTGCAAACGAGAGGCAGTCAGAAGCTTTGGAAGGGCTCAGTACTCCCTCTGCTGTTCTTTCCTGTTTAAGACATCGTCATGCCACAACAAGCAATAGTTTTATTGGTAAGCTGCAGGGCCCTCTTGAATGCCTCTGTAATCAGTATGTTTAAATATTCCCACTCCTAGCCATGAGTTAACCGATGTCATATTACTTCTCCAGGCTTGAATCCCAAATGACTGCTGATATCCAAACCATCCTGCAGCTTCTGCAAAGGCAGTCAGCACTCATTCCACCTGCCTATAGCATGGTGACTGCAGGTGCAGAGTATCAACAGCCAACAGTTCGGGTGATACAAAAGCTTCAGCCTTCAGCATCCATTAAAACAGACAGAAGTTTCAGTCCTTCATCTCAGGTAAGTATATGTACAATAAGATCAAAAGAGGCTTGCTAGTCTTTTTATCTTATGATGGAAGAAATCCGTATCAATCTGCGTGCTTGTTCACTCATTTAGCTATGAAATTATTGCTTTGAGCTAACACCTGCAGAGGGGTCTTAGACACCACAGTTTCAGAGGCCAGATTTTCTATGAGGGTTGTAGAGATTTATACAATGATCTCACAATCAGACTGATTTCCTTCATTGACATGTTCTTCATGTAAGCAGAAAAGGTAGATATTAGAGACAGCTCTAAGACACAAAGACATTCCAAGCATCAGACTTGCCTACATAGGTTCATCTACCATAGGTCCCATTCATGAAGTCCTGAGAAGCAGCATGACTATGTTTTCCTGAAGGTACAGACCAGACCAGTCCAGCTGATGCAGCATGATGGTCATGGAACATGGAATATTCCATACACATATGGAATTGTGAAGGGCTAAACCCGTTCTTGTGTTCAGTCCCTCGCTATTGCTGGAAATACAAACATACAGAGACGTGACATAGTTGTTTTTCCCAGTAAAAATTCTCCATTGCAGTTCTTTTTCAGGCAAAATTTGTTATTTTTCCAAATTTGTTTAGGATTACCGGAGTTTAACAGCTTAGAGGTGTGGCTTGTGATTTTCAAACAGGTTTCTGATTGAATGTCTAGGAATCCTAAATCAGTCATATAGCATACAATTAGCAAATCCAGCGTGCTCAGCTGTGTAGCTCATATGTATGCTGGGACACATATGGGCACAGTAAGTTTAACACATCCAGAAGGCATCAGTTTACATGAATTAAGACTGTCAGGGCATCAAACACACAGCAGTAGTTTTCAGAAGTGTAAACCCACCATGCATGTACCTGTACAAAACATACACAGATATCTATGTCTGAACAGAGGTGTGCCATGCTGGGCAAACATCAACAGGCGCACTGCACACTTCACATAGATTCCAGCTTTAAAAGTGAAGAAGAATTGAGTGCTGAGACTGGAATCCAAAATGATTAGAATGTTCAGAATTATGCCACTCCGGAGTATGCTCTGAAACAAAAATTCAGATTCAAGAATGTTGAGATCCATACTCTTAGGCTGGGTTTCAAGAGCACTCAGCCCTTCAGAAAGAGCTGCTTATATGTGTATATTTTGTTGTCATATGAGGAAGTCTGAGGAAAGGAAAAGATATCTAGGCTTCTACAATTAATCAACAGAATTGCATTCAATTACATTAAATCAAATGCAGTACCATGTAAAAATATTTCAGAACACTGCTTAATTTTCAAAGTTGGTTTTCTATCAACTAGCTTAATGTGCTAATTTTGAGCAGAACAAGAGCCTGGAAGAGATCAATTTAATTATTAACATCTTGTTTCTTCTCATCCCTTCCAGTGCCCTGAACTTCTAGATGTTGAAAAATCGAAACTTAAATCCAAAGAATCTCTCTCAAGTGGAGTGCATCTGAACACAGCCTCAGAAGACAACCTGGCTTCTTTTTTAGACCAAGAACATGACCAGTCTGTAGAGCGGCCCCCACAGCATTGTAAACCTTGTCTCCCACCAATTAGGCACCCTTCCTTGCCAGAATCTTCACTAAGCACTGTAGGAATCTTGAGTCTTCATAGGCATGTTTCTGATCCTGGTCTTCCTGGGAAATAGTACTTTTATACTATTACTTCACATAAAAATGTAAGTGCTTTTAATGGCTGTTTTTCCTTTTTTTTTTTTTTTTTTTTTTTTTTTTTTTTTTTTTTTTTTTTTTTTTTTTTTTTTTTTTTTTTTTTTATTTAAATCCTCTATACTTGACTCAGGGGCTACAAGGAATATACCATTATATGCAAAAGTACTGTATATTTTCCTAAATCTAAAGCTTGTAAGGTAAAGTTGAGCAGTTCTGATGTAAATATATATATATACACACACTAATTGTATGTTCCAAATATAAAACTGCCAGCATTCTCAAGGCACCTTAAATTTTTATTTTTTTTAAATAACATGCATGTTCTGAGATTACAGTTTACGTTGCATGGAGATTACCATTTACTGCTGTCATGGAAATAGTATTTTATTGTGGATATGTCTTCAGAGCAAATAGGAGACCAATAACAATAATTCACAAGGAAAAACTCCTACCTGACCAAGCTAAAATTCAAGCAAAATCCTCTTTTAGCTCACTTTTGAAAACTGATTTATCTTTCTTTCAGTGAGCTTTCTATAATAAATCACAATTAGTCTGAATCTAAAGAAAGAATAAGGTAACCAAGTATTCTGGGCTTGAAACAACTGGGACATAGAAAACTGCCTCCTTCCTAACCAGTTGAAGTAGGTAGGGCAGTATTTTAATAGACAGGAAAACTCCGCCGCATGCTGAAAAGTATCACCATAGGTTACATCCACAAAATTGCATTAATTGAATAATTTGTTTCCACTACATTTTGGTTTTGGGGTTTTGTATTGGGGGTTTTTGGGTGGTTTGTTTTTTTTTTTTTTTTTTAATTGCATCATAGAAGTTAGCTGTGATGAGCAGACAGGTACTCTTCATCTGTCACACAAACATAATCAAATGCAATAAACCTAATTTCTATATAATACAGAAGACTGTGTTCCTTTTGTTCAATGCAAATTATTAACAATATGTTTATTTAAAAATACTTCACAGATTTTTGTGTTATAATTAGTAAGGTGGCTGTTTGCAGTTACCTCTTTTTACTGACTGGCCCCTCCCAATGATCCTGGATAGGGTATATCTGTATGTGAACACACACATACACCACGCACACATTCCTGTATGTGTGCATGTGTGTATTTTATATATGTACATAGGTGTGTATGTATGTATGTGTATGTGTATATATATTTATATACACACGTACACACAAGTATGTGTATATACCTACACTTACATGTAGGAGTATAGATATAGAGCTATATATATATATATGTATATATGTAAAATCACTTTCAGGAACAATTGTAAACTTTCTTATTACAAAATGAGTAAGCTTAGCTTGTGTCCAAAGCTGAATTAGAATAAAATTATTTAAGGTCTGTAGGCTTTAAATACAGTATGTACTGTATGTGCATAATGCTTTGTGAATACTTAGATTTAATTTTATTAAAATATTATTCTGCTTCAAATGTTGTGTTTATTTTTAAATGAAATTACCTTTTTATTAATGTTTTTAAGTATTTTTAAATGGTCACATGATTTTCTAACCTTTTAGCTTTGATGTGAAATTCCTCTGCGAAGAGAACTGGTTTCAGAAAAGCACATAATCCAGTTAGTGGGGGAGCACTTCAGTCTTAACTAAAACCAAACTAAACCCTCTGTTCTAAACCAGTACTACAGAGAGATGTGATAGCGGTTGTCCCTTCCACAGAGACATATGTTGTATGTTGGGGTTGGAATGAAACATGACATTTCCAGTCGTACACAGCCAGTAGACTAAGCCAAGGTGGGTGAATCTTCCCTCATTTAAAATCAGTGTGTGTTGAGCAACTGAGCAAGGTTCTGCTTTACCTTTGCTTTTAAAAATACAAAAATGAAGTAAGTGAATGCCTTTGTAAGTGAAAAGATAAAGCAACCCTTCCCATAAAAGATGAAATTTTCTTCTGCCTCATGCTACTGTTGATAGTTGAAAGGTCCGAATGCTACAACATGCTGAGCAGTGCAGACCTCCTGGAGTCATGGTAGAAGTCTGCACTGCTCAGTGCCTTGCAGGATCAGATCCTAGGGACCATTCAGAATCTCTGCCTGCATATACTGCACTGAGATGGGAGTGCTGAATAACAAATAGCTACTGCGCTTTTTTTGCCCCCCCCCTTTTTTTTTTTTAATAGCAAGTGTTAATGACTTCTGCTCTATCTCAGCCTGGTAACTATATTAATGTCTGCTACAAGGAACAGGTTAGCACATTTCCTAAAAAAGTATTTGTGCTTATGCTACATTCTGAAAAGTCTGGCATAAATTAAAAATAAAATCAATGAAAAAAGTATAATGCATGAGCATTACTTTCCAAAGTGTCTTTTGTCCAATTTCATCTCTTGATACTTCACATTGATGCAAAGAGTCTCAGCAAAACAGGTGGACTGGGAAAGGAGCACTGGGGAAGAGGAGGAGCTACAACTACTGCAGTTAGTCCAAATGAAGGAAAAGTTCCATTCTTTACTCCTTTTCTTGGCTCAAAGAGGCTTTGTTCCTTCCCTTCTTTTTGTATCAAGAAGAAAAATCTCTAATGGGGGACTTTTTAATGTTATGTAGATTCTAAGCTACCTAGACGTCTGCCAAGGAATGCAGAAACAAAACATGAAAGTTTGGTGGCAATACTTGAACTGCTTCTTCTCTGCCAAATTAAAATCTGCCTTCTCAGGCATCTTGTTGTTGAGGTTCTGTGAAGTACATGAAGATCCCCTGCTTCAAACTTTTTTCTTCCAGAAGCAGGTACAAACCCTTTATTTTGAAAATGTGTTAATTTTCTAAACAGCAAAAATTGCCCGTTTTATTTGTGGTTATTTTGCTGGTGTTTTGGTGTTCCTGTTTGTTTGGGTTTGGGGG